CATTTAACACTGTTTTTTTTTAATTAACTGGTGTTCATTGGATTACTAAGATGACAAGTGGATGATTTGGAGTATCAGTCTGCTTTAGCAAACATTTATAGATTGCAAAACAGTCTTCATTGCTGTGTTTCTACAGTTTGAGGTATACATCCATGAGTTTGAAGCTTTTTGAGAAACCAGACACTGCACACCAGTTCATTATATCATGTGAGTATTTCACAGTTTTTATAGGGTACCACAGTGACAATCGGGCTTGTGCACTTATACACATCAGGTGGTGCTCGAGCCTCTGCCCTTTTGGCCTCTGACTAGATAGGTTTCCTTTACACAAGACATTTACAATATTTACAGCCAACTGCTGTAAAACCTCAAAGAAGAAGATCTCCTGCCCCTCCCACTTACCTTGTCTCAGCCATCACAGTTAATGCATGCAAACTGAGTGCCCTGCAGAGCAGCATGATCCACGTCTCCCTGATCTGCCTTCATTGGTGACAGCTAGAAAATGATAGTGTTTGCCCTAAGCCTTTGCATTGTTCGTCACTGCTGTGATATTAAACCACTATTAAAACATCTCAATATAGCCAGCCTAACTTAGGCATAGCCCACTATTAAGCTTATCAAGAAGCATGCTGGTCTGGTCCAAAATAGCATGGTCAATGAAAATGAGTGAACTCCGGTAGGCTAGTTCCTTTGTCAAGCAACTGAAAGAAATAATAAAATGCATCATATTGGAATTACATTTCTACAGTTATCTGGCAGCAGGATTGGTATGCCATTCTATCTTGTTTGAGGAAGTGGTCGCATTTTCAAAGCCATGTGCAAATATGCACACATAATCCAGAGTGGAATGCTTATATTCAAACAAATGTCACCAGCACCAGGCTCTAGCAAACACAGACTTCTTTGGTCAAACTGGTTGGTTATAACTGCGTCTCCTCTTTTCTAACAGATCTCATAAAAGTAGCGCCTGAAGCATGTTGTTTTATTTCCAACAGAGAAAGGCCTGTGGTTGTTACAAATACTTTGTGGTAGAGCAGAAACATGGATGTAATTGTTTTGTAGCCAACAGAGGGCTGAGTGTGGATTTTTGCTTTGCATTTCTTTCTGGAAATTTTACTCACATTTTAATTTTTGCTTCATTGCAAGCATTTATAGCTTTGACTAAATGTAACATAATTAAGGATTGAATTTAATTATTTATTTAATTTAATGAAAATTGTTAAAGGACAATAAATTACAGGCAAAAATAATGGAAGCAGGGTTTACTATGCTACAAAATGCAACTTCACTGTTATTGTATTAATGATTGTCCTCTAAAATATGACATCAGCATCATCATGTATGGAAATATGTATGGTGACCCAACTTTCATAATCTCCAGAAAAGTTAATTTAACCTAGGTAAGGACTACTAGCCAATCAGAAGCAGAGTAGGGCGGGTCATGAGATACATGGCTTCAGTTCAGGTGTATATTCCCTTACCAGCTTAGCAACATAGACTGGAGCAAGAGTTTAAGAGTTTTAACTGTGCACTGTTACATCTACATCACGGTAACAGCCCCATGTTCATTGACAGCCTGGAGGGTAGCTAATGTTTGGAAGGGAGAGGAAAGGCAGCAGGCGGACATCTTGTCACTGTGTGCTGCAGCTCAGTGTGTTTTTCCACCGTGTTTTTGAGGGCATGTCGAACTAACCGCTAGGCGAGCATTATGACGCACATTTTGCTGTGGATATGGGGCTTTTCACTTTGCAAACCTATTACATGTAACAATATATATAAGTCAATAAAGGAGGGGGGAAAAGCCAAAAATATAATATGACCTTTAAAAGAAATTGTGTTCCACCAATCTGGAAGAATCTCATTAGCTGTCAAGATAGTCTTGAAACATATAAAAAAGGGCCACCCATAATGCCAGAATAGCCTATTACTTGTCATTAAAATGGAAAATAAGAAAGTTAAAGTTTCTTTTCAGCACTTTAGCCACACTTACAGTTACAACTCTACTAAGCCACATATTCCTGTAGCCCTCAGTAGTAACAACCTGCTTTTTAATGATAAAATTCTAATATTAGAGTCAAAATTCATCATCTCCTGCCTTCAACCCGTTAATTTATCTTCAAACTCAGGACCTTTAGAAGCAGCTGTAAAACTTGATATATATTTAGGCTCC